CCCCAAAACCCCAAAACCCCAAAACCCCAAAACCCCAAAACCCCTTGCTTCAACCCAGAAATTGAATATTTAGGATATTTCAGACAAAGATTCTTAAGAGGAATATGAGCTATGAGAGCTAGAAGAGTACTCATCCCCTCCAGCCAAGGATGAGTAATGAGATAATTCAGAACCAAATGGGTCATTGGAATAGTCCAGGGATTCTGAGTCAGGGTTTGCACCTCTTTTAAGTCTAGTAAAGTTGTTGGGTACTTCTGTCTTCTTGGGTATTATACCTTTAAGTGTCTTTTTAGATTTTGTTAACATTCTTTCCATTTGTTTTACTTGACGATCTTCTCCTTTATCTTCAGAGATATTCTTAATCCTATTCATGAGACCACGCAGATCAAGCATTATAGACTCTTCAGTGTCTGCCTTCTTTTCTCGATTGCAGACCACAGTTGGAACAAATGTAAATTCTTTATCTTCTATAAAAATTTAGCTCCTTAATTACCTTCTATTTCACCCCTCACTTCACTATGAACAGACTCTTTATACTTCCTCCTCAGCTTACTTACATATCAACTCACATATCAATGATGTATCCAAGAGACTATCCTATGAACCCCTGAAAAGGCCAACTTAAAACTAATAACCCCCGCTAGAACAAATCCAAGGTACGATATAAACCATTTCTCATCATTCCTATCAAACCCAGTGATTACTGCTCCAACTCCAAAATTAACACAGAGCCAGCCCATGAGAAATAGAGACCTGAAGTACTGATAGCCTTCGTATTTCTCCTTAGCTGCTTCTCTGACTTTAGCATCAAGCTCCTTGTCCTTGGTCAGGCTGCCTGAGACAGTCTCAGAAGCCACTTCGTGGATATTGGCCATGGCGAAGATAGTGAAGATGTTGATGTAGGTTGGCAGAAGGTAGAATCCGTATAGTATTCCTTTCAAAGTATCTGAAATATAGAGATTCCAAAAGTTCAAAATCAGAGGGATTAAGAAAGAGAATGTAAAGAAGGCAATAAGACAAACAGGTATTATGTTTTCTTCCTTTTTAATTGCAAACATGATAGCTCAATAGACCATAAACAGTGAGAATGACCCCATTAAGATCGCACAAAGCTTAAATCCTAACTCAGCATTTCGAACTTTGATAGCAATGGAGAGCATCAAGACTATAAATAAAAAGATAAGATATATATTTTCTGTCACATTCGAAGCCATAGTTACACTTATACAGGTGTTAGATGGGAGAACAGCTCTTATGAAGACACTGAAAGCAGAATAAAAGAGTCCAAGTGAACAAAAGTATAATATCCAAACTATAGCCAAATAGAAATAAAGAATCATAAGAAAAATATTTCTCATAAAAGAACTTCCTTTTCTTTTCCACATTCTATAACCAGACTTGAGCATATAGAAAGAAGAGAACATCCACCCATTAAAAATCCTTCTTCTCTCTTTGATCAAGCCAGTTAGAGAAATTGGGCAGTCTACCAAGCACTTGGCTCCTGGCACATAATGGGTGATATATCTATGATTTTCTTTGTTCAAAATTTCCATAGCAAGAATACGATCTTCAGTTAAATATTTATTTGAAGTATAGCAAGACAAAGTTTTCTTCACATCTCTAAAGTAATCATTAGCACCTTTAAGTGTTTGAGATACAGGTCGACCATCGATTCATTCCCAGCGGAAGGTAGAGAATAAGCTTGGAAGGCTTGTCACAAAGCCAAAGAGAGACTCTGTAGCCTTATCCATGTAATGAGATACTTTGTATTCAACATATTGAGACCTTAGCATTGAGCTTTCTACAAAACTTATTTGTTGTACTTCATCGCTTTTCTTTTCAATCAGCTTAACTTCAACTTCTCCTCATGCTCCTCCGACATCTGGGAATGCCTCCATATGCATGATGATCCTTGAGATAGAGTTCCAGAGAGGAATTGCTCCTCATTCAATAAGTTGTACATATTTTGGATTCATCATTTGACAAAATCCTCTATAAAACCACTTGTAGCTTTCAAGTTTTCCTTGGTTCTGATGCTTCACAACAAAATGTATGGGTAGAGGATAATGCTTATACTTTTGAGTTTTTACATTCCCAATTGAATCATCCCCTGATAAGAAGTCATAAACATCATATCCATTAATAAAGAAATTACTCCTCTGTTGCTTCGAGAGAGCTTTTTCCCATTCGCTAAAGTCCATGACTCTGGAGAATCAGTGACCAATGTTGTTAGCTCCGTAAGCCTTAATATCTTTGAACTCAATCTTGGCCTCTTCGTCCTTTGATTCTTGGTGCTCAAACTTTCTGCTGATCATGTTTTCAGTATTGATAAAAGCCAAATTTTCCAAAGTAAAGGTAATTTCTTTACTTCCAGAAGTAATTGGAGCCTTTACATATTTCTTGGCGTTAACTTTATTAATACTGTGAATATTTGCTTTATCATACACTTCTCGATTCTTCTGATTCTGTAATAGAGTCTCATATCCATCAGTGATAATCACCACATGCACTCTATTCAAGAATGTTGGGTCAAGATCCACTAAAGATTCAGGTTAGAAAATTAGCATCAATGGAAGAAAGCTAAAAAATAAATAAATAGGAATGATGCAGCCCATAAAGCAGCCTAGTGTAGGTCTAAGTTCTACAGTATAACTTCTATAGGGATAATCATTTATCTAAGCCATATGAGAAGATGTGGATGTGAATAAAAATTAATTTTGTAAACAAACTGGAGCTTTCTTACGCAATTCATAATATGCTCTGTAAACTCCAGCCAAGCTTTCTACGAGTCTTTTAGGGTCTTCATTGAACATAGTGATGCACATAAGCATCTTGGGCTGGTTCTTGTAAATACCGTAGCCAATCAAGGTATCTTCCAAAATGTCGATGTCGTTATCTCCTATGTCTTCAATGTCCCAGTCTTCATCAGCCTTTCTCTGATGTTGTTTCATTATATATAGCTTTGGTTGGTTGTATCAAACGGATCAGGATTTACTAGCGACAGAGGAGTGTACTTATATTCTTTCCTGAAGCAATCAAGCTCAGAAACAGGTGAGACTTCAGTGTCAGAAGAAAGATCTTCTCCTTGAGGAGGGTTGGCGAGATGGCTGTGCTCAGGAGGCATTCCTTCTTCCTTACTACTTTCAGTAATATTCATTTTGTTTATTAATAGAAAATAAAAATGATAAAATCAAAGACAAAGGTCTTTATAGGGGTTTTGGGGTTTTGGGGTTTTGGGGTTTTGGGG